ACCTAACATTAACCTAACCTAACATTAACCTAACCTAACATTAACCTAACCTAACATTAACCTAACCTAACCTAACATTAACCTAACCTAACCTAACCTAACATTAACCTAACCTAACATTAACCTAACCTAACATTAACCTAACCTAACCTAACATTAACCTAACCTAACATTAACCTAACCTAACATTAACCTAACCTAACCTAACCTAACCGAATCTAACCTAACCTAACCTAACATTAACCTAACCTAACATTAACCTAACCTAACCTAACATTAACCTAACCTAACCTAACCGAATCTAACCTAACCTAACCTAACATTAACCTAACCTAACATTAACCTAACCTAACCTAACATTAACCTAACCTAACCTAACCGAATCTAACCAAACCTAACCTAACATTAACCTAACCTAACATTAACCTAACCTAACCTAACCTAACCTAACCTAACCTAACATTAACCTAACCTAACATTAACCTAACCTAACCTAACATTAACCTAACCTAACATTAACCTAACCTAACCTAACCTAACCTAACCTAACCGAATCTAACCTAACCTAAACTAACATTAACCTAACCTAACCTAACCTAACCTAACCTAACCTAACCTAACCTAACCTAACATTAACCTAACCTAACCTAACATTAACCTAACCTAACATTAAGCTCACCTAAGCAGGCCTTCTGTCCAGCTGTGTGCACATATTTGAACACTTCCTGTGTGCTGAGGACTGAAGCAGCAGGTAAAGTCCGGCTCTGTCTCTGCCTCTCAGGCAGCTTCTCTCTGCTCGCTCACATCCCAGCTGATAACAGCTGGACTCATTTCCCTGAGTTTGCATGGAGCCACTTACTGACAGGTGCAGGTGAGCCGGTCCTGGTCCAGGTGGCAGGGCTGCTGGGAGTCCTGGGACCTGTTGCTGAGCAGCAGGCAGTAAAAGATGAAAAGCAGGAGGCAGATAAGAGCTGGAATCAGACAGGACAGCTGCCATGCTGCCATGCCCATGTTTGGCTGCTGCTAGCTGTGTGCTCCTCACAGGATGCTAAGATCTTTGCTGCTCCTCACCTTATAAGGTGAGTCCAGCCAAGCTCAGCGTTTTCACCAAACGCTGCCGAGTCAGAGGACCTGTCCATGTGTGGCTGCAGACCTCCAGTCTGGGATCAATATCAACTTTTTACTGCTCCCAGGAAGACTTGGAGCCAGAAACCACAGCCTCCACTCACACACACACCTTTAGCTGTTTTACAGCTCATTTCAACTAAACACAGTGCTTCTTTAAAAATCACTGGTGTTTCCTGTCCTTTAATAAATCCAACCAGAACATTCCTGCTGATTCAGCAGAAATGTTTCAGCAGAGAAAAATGAGTGTAAGAGTTTTACTCACTGCTCAGATCTTCAGTGGATCCACGATGAAGGCTGAACTCCAGAGAAGTGACAGGAWGACTGCAGGTGGATGAAGACCAAGAACAGGATGATGTCACCCTTCCTCCTCCTCCTCATCGCTTTTTAAGCAGGCCACCTGGGGAGGAGAGAGGGTCACCTGATGAAGGGTGAGGGCCACCTGGGTGGAGCCAGGACCATCAGAGCAGCTTCTGACCATCAGAGCAGCTTCTGACCA